AAGTGTCCCTACTCCCCCTCAAAACGTGTTATAAAACAAATGGTACAATTCAAAAATTGCTTTTGTTGAAAAGCATGAAAGTGAAATTGTACTAGTCTAGAAACCTTAAGGAAGTGTTTCATTTGGAATGCGAAGGCCACCTGCTAATGGGTGAGTCATGGCTTGCACCTGCCACCGCAGACGCCACGATGGCGAAATGCCCCACGTGCGACGGCCACCCAGGCGTCGCCTGCGTCTTCCCTACTGTCACAAGAAGCCCGGCAACTCCTGCTGTGTCTTAATTTCTGGAAGAGAGGTTTTTTCAAAGTTTACATGATCGGGCCTTTTCATTGCTCACTTTGGAACAAATCGGAAGCTATGGACTTAAGGCCTGCGCGCCAGGGAGCGTCGGGGCTGCGGCCTGAGGTGCGGGGCCACCCGGTAGTAGCTGGGAGCGCCGCCTGGGAAAGGCCCTGGCAAGACGCTGCAGGGGCGGCCGGAGCGAACTCTGAAGTCTCCCGACCGTCCCGCAGCCTTTCATAAGCCAGTGACGACCGAGTAGGCCAAATGACCACAGGCCTGCCACGCGGGCGCCCGGGGACGCGCGTCCTCTTCAGGGACAAAAGGGTCGGGAAATTTGAGCTCGGGCCTGTCCCAGAACACCGGGGCTGGTGGTCGTCATGGCAACGGAGGCCGGCCCTCAGAGGCCAGCCGCCCAGGCGAGGTATCTCCTGGCTGACCCGACCCGCTCGCGCTGCCCGGCGTCTGCCCCGCGGCTGTCCCTGCCCCGCCCCCAGGCCGCGGCCGCCCCAGCCGGCGACTGACCCTCAGCAGCTCCTGTAGTCACGTGGCGCTGGGAACCCAGCGGCGGGGGGGTGGGGAGGTTGGGGACGGGCCTGGCAGTTGTGAACTCGAACCTGCTGCTGTCGCCGCGGCGGGGCGGGGAGCGGGCAGCGGAGGCCGTCCTTCTGGCTCCATGGACGGACGCCGCGCTCCTGCACAGCCCGCCGGAGAGGTATGGCCTGGGCAGGGGCACCGGGGTGCCACGGGCTCTTGGGGGGCAGCTCCACCTGAGGGGCGCGTGACCGTGAGTGTGCGCGACTATGTGTGTGTGCGTGTACGCGCGCGCGGGGGGGCCCCTGGATCTGCGGCGGGGGGTGGGGTGGCGAGCGCACCTGCGCATAGGCTTAGAGAGCTGCGCTGTGTGGGGGACCCTAAATGGCTGATTCGTAGGAGTGTGTCCGTGAACGTTGACCGAGGACAGGCGCGACTACAAAAGGGGGGTGTGGGGCTTCTGCCACCCTTGGCCATCCAAAATGCCGAATGGGATTCTGACCAAGTCCTAGTCACACTAGCAGGCCCTGCGCAGCCCCATGGGAAATAGGCCTGGAATTACTGTTGGGAGGAGGGTGGGGGAAGGGAGCCAGCAGAGATTCCAGAGTTACTGCTATAGCCCGGCCTTTGGGCATCAGGAAAAGTCCAGAATGGAGAATTCGTTCTGTGACCTTACCGGGAGGAAGTGACCCCCAAAGGCAGCAGTGTACTTCCTTGGAGCACATTTATTTATTAATCCAGTAACCATTAAGGTCACTCTGCCAGGCAGGGTTGGAGCTTAAGGCTGGAGCCATGGCTTTGTGGGGGGAGGGGTTGTGGCTGACTAGGACACAAAGATGACTGCCCTAGAGGAGCTCAGAGCCTTATACATGTTTTCTCTCCCCTCCCCACAGGTAAGGCTGGCCTCTCTGCAGTCAGAGGTCTGAGCTCTGCCATGGGGGTAGGGGTGTCTTTACTGCTACAGTTTTCTCTGACACCTGGGGGCTACCGGAGTGTGGGCAGAAGCCGGCGCTGCAGCGGAAGAAGTATCCTCAGGAACATTCCCAGGAGGAGCTGGCAAAAGCCTCATTCTCAGCTCCGCAGTCTCAAGGGTAGAGTCTGGGCTTTGCTGTGTTCTCAACCACTGCACAACCCCAGCACACAGGGCCCCATCCTGACAGAAGGAGAGGGGCCTGCAAGGGAAGGATCCCTTTCTGATGTCCTGGAGATCTACCCTGTGCTCAGTATGGCATTGGGAAAGAGTCATGTCTGTGGCTCCCCAGGAAGAGAAAGGCTCTAGGGAATTGAGGAGATTGTGTTTGGAGCTTGCAAGCAGGCACTGAAGGCCCTCCCAGAAGTCTTAACAGCCACCCCAGCAACCTTCTTGCCGTGTGAAAGGCTCTTTTGCAGGAATCTGGGCTCCCCAAAGAGCTGAACTTAAGGCCTCCTCTGGCATGATTGGGGCAGGACCAGACAGGGGACAGAGATTACAATCTCTTCCCTCCATTCTCTTGCCCCAATAATCTTCAGCACCCAAAGTGAAGCAGAACCAGGGATTAGGCCCTGAGGGCAGTAGAGTGTAGGTGTTCCTTGGATTCGGGGAGAGTTTTCCTTGCAGTGTCTTAATTGTGTGTGGGGGTGGAAAAGGACAGACGGGCAGAGTGTGGGCACAGTCTGGACAGGCGATGGCCTGGCATTAGACTGCTCTGGGGGTAGCACCCAGGGCTCCCTCCCTTTCTCTTCCCTGAGGAGGGCTGTTTCCACTTGCTCTCCAGGCTTCTACAGTGGGAGATGAAAGTTAACGAGGCTGAAAGTGCCTCCTCTGTGATGTGATATGAATGAGATGCTGTAGAAACTTGCTTCTGTGAGATCTTTGCAAACCAGGTGTTTTAGAGGCAAGAACTCTGGCCTGGGAGTTTAGAAGACCTGTCCCCTAGTCTTGGTTCTGCCCTTGGTTTACTGTGTCACCTTGGGCAAGTTTCATCACTGTTGTTGATGCCTCACAGTTGCTTCATCTGACAGACAGGGAGCTCAGTGTCTGCTTGGCCAGCCTCACAGAGATGCTATGAAGCTGGGATGTGGCAATTGGAGATAGCAGTAATAAGGAAAGGGCAACAGGGAACCATTTTGAAAAAGCATAAGGCACTGTGGGGAGCTGTGATGACTTTTTCTAGTGAGTTCTATGGCAGGATTGTGCATCTAGCACTGGAGTGTTGACTGCCTGCCTGACACTGGGATAGTTGCCATGAGGGAATTCCAAGAAGTGTCAGAATTCCTCCCTTCTGTAGTTTTCAGGGCAAGAAGACATAAGACAAATATCTAGAAACCCAAATTGGAATGGTATATGACATGTAAGGAGGTACAAGAGTAGTCGATTCATGTCAAAGGGTCTAAGACAGTGGCTCTCAATCTTCCTAACGCTGTGCCCTTTAATACAGTTCCTGTGGGTTGCCACCTACAGGTTGAGAGTCGCTGGTCTAAGAGGATGGCAAGCTCCTCTGGGAGGCTGAGGCCTGGAAGGGAGGAGCTGGGCAGGATGAGCTGGTCTCTAAAGTGACTCTACTTTTCCACCCTTAGCAGAGGAAGAACCAATGCTGGAACGTCGCTGCAGGGGCCCCTTGGCCATGGGCCCAGCCCAGCCCCGACTCCTCTCTGGGCCCTCCCAGGAGTCATCCCAGGCTCTGGAGAAGGAGCCCAGTGGGCTGAGGCAGCAAGGCACTTCAGTGGCCCAGCCAGGCAGACAGGCCCCAGCCAGGGCCCATCGCTGTGCACACTGTCGAAGGCACTTCTCAGGCTGGGTGGCCCTGTGGCTTCATGCCCGCCGGTGCCAGGCCCGACTGCCTCTACCCTGCCCTGAGTGTGGCCGTCGCTTCCGCCATATCCCCTTCTTAGCACTGCATCGCCAGGTCCATGCTGCTGCCACCCCAGATCTGGGGTTTGCCTGCCACCTTTGTGGGCAAAACTTCCGAGGCTGGGTGGCCCTGGTTTTGCATCTGCGGGCCCATTCGGCTGCAAAGAGGCCAATTGCTTGTCCGAAATGCGAGAGACGCTTCTGGCGACGAAAGCAGCTTCGAGCTCATCGGCGGCGGTGCCATCCCCCTGTCCCGGAGGCCCGACCTTTCATATGTGGCAACTGTGGCCGGAGCTTTGCCCAGTGGGACCAGCTCGTTGCTCACAAGCGGGTACACGTAGCCGAGGCCCTGGAGGAGGCAGCAACCAAAGCTCTGGGTCCCCGGCCCAGGGGCCGCCCTGCGGTGACCGCCCCTCGGCCTGGCGGAGATGCTGTTGACCGCCCTTTCCAGTGTGCCTGCTGTGGCAAGCGCTTCCGGCACAAGCCCAACTTGATTGCTCACCGCCGCGTGCACACGGGCGAGCGGCCGCACCAGTGCCCTGAATGTGGGAAGCGCTTCACCAACAAGCCCTACCTGACTTCTCACAGGCGCATCCACACTGGCGAGAAGCCCTACCCGTGCATGGAGTGTGGCCGCCGCTTCCGGCACAAACCCAACCTGCTGTCCCACAGCAAGATCCACAAGCGATCTGAGGGCTCTGTCCCTGCTGCCCCTGGCCCAGGCAGCCCCCAGCTTCCAGCCGGGCCTGAGCCTACCCCGGTGGCCCTACTGAGATCTGTGAGGGAGCCGGTGTCGCAGGAACCCCCCCTGGAGTCCCCGCAACACCAGGCAGAGGCCCCCGCCTCTCTCTACAGCTGCGATGACTGCGGGAGGAGCTTCCGGCTCGAGCGCTTCCTGCGGGCCCACCAGCGGCAGCACACGGGCGAGCGGCCCTTTACCTGTGCCGAGTGTGGAAAGAACTTCGGCAAGAAGACACACCTGGTGGCACACTCGCGGGTGCACTCAGGGGAGCGGCCCTTTGCCTGCGAGGAGTGTGGGCGCCGCTTCTCCCAGGGTAGCCACCTGGCGGCGCACCGGCGTGACCATGCACCTGAGCGCCCTTTTGTCTGTCCCGACTGCGGCAAGGCTTTCCGCCACAAGCCCTACTTGGCTGCCCACCGGCGCATCCACACTGGCGAGAAGCCCTATGTCTGCCCCGACTGCGGCAAAGCCTTCAGCCAGAAGTCCAACCTGGTGTCTCACCGCCGCATCCACACCGGCGAGCGGCCCTACGCCTGCCCCGACTGCGACCGTAGCTTCAGCCAGAAGTCCAACCTCATCACGCACCGCAAGAGCCACATCCGGGACGGCGCCTTCTGCTGTGCCATCTGTGGCCAGACCTTCGACGATGAAGAGAGGCTCTTGACCCACCAGAAGAAGCACGATGTCTGAGGCGAGCGGGGCTGGGGTGTCTCTGGGGCCAGGTGCAGGTGCCTACCTATGCCGGGTTACCGGAGACTGGAATCCTAGCTGGGTCAGAAAGAGGCTGGGGGTGAGTTGTCCCTGTGAGCCAGGAAGGTCAACCCGGGGTGGCCAGGGAACCCACTTCAGAGTGCAAGGATGCTGCCCTTGGGTTGGTATTTGCTAGGGTTCCTGACTGTCCTGTGCCCCAGAAAAGTAGCAATAGTAACACCATCTATCCCGTAGAGCCCTCTGGCTAGAGGAGCCACCAGTGGAAGTGAAGATCTTCCATTCTCTGGTGTTAACGCCTTAATGTCCCTATCTTTTACTATGAGTTACTTCAGATCATTTTTGGAAGTAGGTGTGGTGTGGTGCAGGTGTTAGTAAATAAACATCTAGGGAGGAGAAGTGGGCCAGCTGAGTACATCTTGGAGAACCTGCTGGCCTCATCAGACAGCACCTAGGCCCACCCCTCCCTCCTGTCTGCACACAGACTTGGAGATCCATCTTCAGTTCATCTTCCTCCCCAGAGATCAACCCCCCCAAGGCATTTCCTCTTTGGTCTGTCTTGCTTTATCTACCACCCCACTAAACTCCACCACAGTGCTTAGAACTTCCCCTGGCTGTCAGCAACCCAGTGTGCAGGCTTTCGTTCCAGTACCCCAACCCTTCCTTCCCTACTTATGCTGTGGAAGGGACTGTCCCATCGGTGACAGAGCTGAAGGGAAGGGGCTGATGAATTTCCCTCCCAACATTTCTAGCATATGGATGCCCAGCCTCTGCTTGAGCACTTAGGGGACGGGGTGTGCCCCACTTCCTGAGGCCCTGGTACTATTGTAGGATGATTCTAATTGTTAGAACTTCTTCCTTATAATAAATGAATTCTGCTTCCCTATAATTTCTGTCTGTTGGGCCTTGTGCTGTTCTGTGGAACTAAACAGAACAACCATTTACCCTCCTTTTCAAAATAGAGAATAAAGATTTGGTTTTAGAACTGGTGTCTGGGGAGTGTTCCTTTTTCCTGGGGGGGCTCTGGCATCAGGCCCAGTACCTGCCTTGCTGAGCTTCTCCATCTTGCTCCAGTTCTTCTCCAAGCATATCCCTCAGCCGTGCTGATTCTCAAGGTGGCAGAGAACTATGGCCTGTGGAACTAGAGATCTCAGTTTCAACCACTTGCCCTCCTTCAGCCAGAGCTGCTACTGTCTTTCTCATCACCTTGGCCGCCTTCTAACTCCAGCAAGTATTGAAAGGCCCCTTTTGAGGGGCAGTGAATGTTACAGACTTTGGCTAGAACTAGTCCCTCTTTCCAGCATCCCCCATGGAGGCCTGACAGAAGCAGAGATGGCTCTCAGTTCCTTCATCCCACACACCAGGGGTTCAGCCTTCTTTGTAGTAAAGTTAGGCTTTTCAGGTGCCATTAGCAGGAGGGAGAGAAGGTGTGACTTGATTTTGTCCTGCAGTGCCACTCTGGCTGCAGGCCCCCTGATCTCTTCCAGCTGTCACTGGTCATTTCATATCAGTTTGAGTACCTGTCTGGCATCAGCAGGCTTGCTATTGGCAGTCTTCATGAGTTTTGCATAGATCCCTAATACCTAGCACGGCATCTGCTGCTTAAGAATGACCACAATTTGTTTATGTGAGTGGCACCTTACAAAGAAGTTTCCCTAAGTTAAGTACTTTTGTATGGCAGGTACTCTTACTCCCCTTTTATAGATGAAAGAATTTGCCCATAGTCATAGGACTGGTAATCACCAGGGACACATTCAAGTCCAGGTCTATCTCCTGAGGCCTGTACTCTTGACCACTCACCTGCTTATCAGCTGAATGGAGCATGCTGCTGTTTGACCTTAAGTATGTACTAAATGCCCACTATGTGCTTGATGTGACAGTAGCCAGGGTTACAAAGACAGGACTCAATTCCTGTCCCATGAGGTGTGGATATGGGTGGGATGTGCTATTTGTAGGTCATGAGTAGAATAGGGAGGGGAGGTTGGGGGTAGGCGTGGCTTGCAATGTGTAGGATGGACAGGAACTGCTTTAAAACTTCATACTGGTTTACTGGGTTATGGGCTACTTAAAAACCTGTATAATTGATGGCAAACTACCTGAGCCTGGGGGTAGAGGCATCGTCTTAAGAAAGCCCAACTCATTTCTGTTTGGGGGAGCTCAGGGCTCCTGGGAAGGGGAGATGACTGGGAAAGAGTGGGTAGATGTCTGGGAATGATGGGCAGGAGCAGAGGACAGTTCCTGGGACAGTTAGTATTGAGGGGTTGAGTACAAGGATGAGAGGGAGAGAGAGAATCGGACCAGAGGTCCTGACCTTTTGAAAAGTCATTTTTAGGCTCCGCGCCTGCGGCTCAAGTGGCTAAGGCGCCAGCCACATACACCTAAGGTGGCAGGTTCGAATCCAGCCTGGGCCCGCCAAACAACAATGATGGCTGCAACCAAAAAA